TGGTCTCGCTACTCGCAACCACATGGTTGAATCCACGTTTTCGCGCTTCCGCTCGCATCTCGTGCATCTCGTGGAACATATATCTCGGAATCACACCAAGATCTTTGCTTATATTATCTTATTTTCGTTGAAAGTACTTACGGATTCCGTGATTTTGTGTTTTTCATATTGTTTTGGATGAAATAATGTTTCTTTTGAAGTGCGACGAAGACGAGTCATATTGCATGGTAACTGACGAAGATGTTATTTTCGATGATGAAACGGTGAAAAAAGGAGAGACTGTTCGGTTCTATTACAACAAGAAACAATATACTGGAACTGTCCTTATGTTCTCAGGTTCGTTATTCCTTATTTGTATTAATTGTTCTTATAATTTGATAACTAGCATGTTAGTACCTGGCCTAACCTATATAACCTAATTTAATCTTTAAAATTTGCACGCTAGAATTTCTTCAGATTTATTTCTTTTTCATGTGTAGATAACCAAGATGCAATTGAAAAAGAGCTGAAGAGATATAAGACAGAATGTAAAATGAAACGAAATAGCAATAAGTCAAAGCATGCCCGTAAAGGATTCGACGTAAAGAAACCCTGCAATGACAAACTTGTCGGTAAAATGCCAAAAAAGACAACAGAAGAAAAAAAGAAAACAACATACTCTTTTGTAAATACATATATATATTATTTTTTATTTTATTATGTAATTAAATTTAAAGAACGGATGATCTATTTTGAAAATCTTACTGCTTTTCCTAGAGTAAGATTTAGTTTCGGGAAAAAAATTTTTATATAAAAACAAATATTTCTATATGTTTTTATATGAAAAATTTTTTACAGGGATATCTTATTGTTCTATCCGCAACTTATATTATTTTATAACTGGCTGAAATTTGTCATTTGTCAATTATATCAATATTATAATATATATATATTATTATTGTTTTTCCATAAACAGAAAAGTAAAAACATTGATGAAGAGATAAACATCAGTGACACAAGTGGTAAGAAAAGAAAAATAAAAGATTTGGACGAGTCTACGAATTCGTCTCGAAGTCTTTCGACGACATATTCCTCTGACGAAGAGATAAAAGACAGTAAAAGTCCTACTAAGGAAGAACTTGCAAAGTTGTTGGAGGATGCTAATAAAAAAATTGCAAAAATGCAATCATTGGAAGTTAAGTCATTACGTATGTATAGAAATATAATCTATAAATTATTTTACATTTGTTTTTTTACAATTTCTATTTTATATATTTTGTTTATTAACTATATATATAATTAAAATATAAAATATATTTTATCGTTTTTTTTCGTTACTTTAAAATGATAATACTTATACGACAATGACAAAAATCATTAAAATTGAAAATTAATTTAAAATAACAAAACTAGTAGCTGTAGGATTAAAAATGTTTTCTGTATATACGTATTGTATGATTATTACTTGTTATAAATAACGATTTATTTCTCTATAAAGACAAATCTGTGATACAATATGATTTATTACGATGTGAAAACCATATCAAATTCATATAATAGAAAATTCAAGAAACAAACATCTTTATATATTTAATTCGTATAAATTTTATCAGAAATTTGGAAATACACTTTTTTATTATTTTTAACATTTTTCTGTAAAAACTCATTTTATACATAATAATTGGAATCCCATCAAATTCATAAAAATTGAAGAGATAAAACATTGTACGTGTTTTATAATAATTAGTCAGAAATTTTAAAATACACTTTTTATATTTCTTAACAAACATGATTACTAAAAACATAACTATATACAAACTTTTTTCGTATACTGGCTTGTTTTTATGATAAATTAAAAATAATTCTATAAAAAATGAAATATGTAATATACGTTTTTACACAAAGAATTAAGTGTAAGCATAATACTTAGGTCGGTATTTATAGTTGGTTCTTATATTTAAGAACGTCTTATAAGTACGATCTTATTAAGATGTCATCAACCAATCACAGAGCCGTATTAGCATCTTAAGACATTTATACTTTTGAGACGGTCTTGAAATAAGATTCGTCTATGAATACCGGCCTCCACAAAAAATTACGAAAATTATTGGTAAATTTGTTTATTTATGTAAATATTTTTTAATAGCATATAACAATACGAATACCGAATCCAAGAAACGACAACTTGTAGATGTAGACGATGAAACAATAGCATATAACAATACGAATACCGAATCCCAGAAACGACAACATGTAGATGTAGACGATGAAACTGCTAGCGTTGCAAGTGAAAATGAGGGAAAACAGGAGTTAATAAAAGATCATCCTATTCAAAGCCCAAGTAATTTTAGCGACCATGAAGTCCAAAATTATTATTACAACGATGAGCAACTTTTTGGCCCCGATTGGGTAAACGATAAAGTAAGCTTTACTGCATTTTATATAAATATTTTATCAGTTTTCTACTATATATATTTTATTAATATATAAATTAAAACAACATTTGGACCGAAATTTAAGAAACACAATTTTGTATTTTATTCACAATAAGTTGAAAAAGGTACTCCTTTATAATACGTACGTATATTACTTTTTTATTACATCTAGATGGTTTTATTAGAAAATATTTTTTTTTGCAAAAAACGAATGCTAGAAGCTGCTCTTTCAACGGCGAAAAAAGCATCGCATCTCGCTCGGCAATTAATACCTGCTGTTTTTAAACCTGAGGCAATCGTTACATCAACGCTGAAAGGTCAAAGTCCCAGAATGACAAAACAGCAAAATCCGGTACAAGTGGACTGTTTACACGGTGTTGCAAAATACGCCATAATTGGTGTGTAAATAATTTCATATCAATACATATTATATTAAATAACAATATAAAAGTGTGACGTATACATTAAAAGATTAAAAAAAAGTTTATTATACTTACAAAAAATATAAGTTTTATATGAAAGCTAGTAGGTAATATCGTTTTATGATTTACAGTTTTTTCGATAATGTATGGCCAAAAGAAAGGTTGGCCTAAACAGAGTGTAAAAGAAATCGAACAAGCGATGACGCAGAAGGTCGGAGAACTAAAAAGACAAGCAGCAAAAAATAAAACTATTTAAAGAAAAATAAGTTTTTACATTTGACTATATTCTACATTTTTATTATATATTTTTAATATTTTTCGTACGTTTGAATATTTCATGCCAAATATGCCTCATTTTGAATATCTGATTTTGTTCAAATTCTACTACTACTATGATATTATAT